GATTTACATTGATGTTTTTCATCACCGTCAATGGTTCCTTTGACAACCACCGTTGACAACTTGATACTTAGTCTATCGGTTGGTCCTTTGTATGATAATTTGAAAATCTCGATTCTACAGATATATTTATCAATTTTGATCTTAGAACAATAAAGTAAGCTTTTCTATTTCTACGTTTTTAGCTGTTGTAAATAAAATCGGAACACTGGGAGTTTATGGCACTTCACTATAATTGTACGTGACCACTATGATCACTACCTTTTTCCCAAGATAACGACGTTTTGCTTAATTTTCGATATCGCGTATTCCATGTTAGTTTATTTCACGAACAAGATATTATCACAATAGATTGAAGGAGAAGAAATATATACCAACTTGCATTTATGAAATGATAAAAAGGGCAAAAATTTGCTCGCGCATAAAAGGTCAATAATAGCTCGCTCGCGAAATATTGCACCTTTTTTGTGTTAAGAGCTTTCAAGTTTGCTTTTTTTTGCTGTCAGAATTCAAAAGAAAACATGCAAATATGTGGCTCGCAAACAGTTCGTCCAAGCGAGATATTTCGCCTGGTTATTTTTAATTAAAACCACTCGCATTAATGATTCTGCTTTTGCAACGCACTATACTCAAAAGAGACAGACAAAATACATATCCTAGCATTTCACGGAGAAAAAATAGTAGCTTTAACTTCTGGTCATTTGGGCACGCTTAGGCTTTATAATTGATAGATTTGCATGGTATATATACTTGTAGTAACAATACGTTTTTCTGGTTATTTATTTTGTTAACCGGATTCATCAGCTAAACTCGGATGGGTGCATGCGTCGTACCTTCAAGTTTCATGTTCTGGACTTAGTTGGATTTTATTTTATTATTTAATTATCAACCGTCGTTTGTTGCTAAAAGGACTTATAAAAGGTCCAATCAAGGCAAAAACCTAGTTGCCGTGAGAACTGACATATAATAAAGAAATAAACTTCATCATTAAAGAAAACTTAGGAAACAAACATGGGATAGCTCGGTGAGATTTTCAAGGCAAGTGCATTTATGCGAGAGAAATCTAGTTCAAAGCTATAGTTCATGGTAAATGTAAACATGGCTTCCATAACTCTCATCCAAGTATGCATTCAGTGAACACTGATCTTAATATGATAATGATTTCTGATTTTGATCAAAGAGATGTGACCATGCAGTGCTAATTAAGGACTGCTGAAAATTTATTTCCCATTGCCTTTAGTTGTTAAAACGGACCGAAAGCTGATGGAAATAAAATGTTAGATTGAAAGAATATAGTGTAAACCGTACAGGGCATACTTGATCATCATGTGATATGAAATCTGATTTACATTGATGTCTTCACCGTCAAGTGGTTCCTTTGACAACCACCGTTGACAACTTGATACTTAGTCTATCGGTTGGTCCTTTGTATGATAATTTGAAAATCTCGATTATACTGATATATTTATCAATTTTGATTTAAGAACAATAAAGTAAGCTTTTCTATTTCTAAGTTTTTAGCTGTTGTAAATGAAATCGAGACACTGGGAGTTTCTGGCACTTCACTATATACTTGTAGTGCTACCACTATGATCACTATTTCTTCCTCAAGATAACCACGTTTTGCTTAATTTTCGATATCGCGTATTTCATGTTAGTTTATTGCAGAAACAAGATATTATCACAATTGATTGAATCTTTGATGCCATGCACTCGCGCCAAATTGAGAGAGCGCGTGAAAGAGAAATCAAATTTACATGTGAGGGGAAGAAATTTAAATAATTTTACCAACTTGCATTTATGAAGTAATAAAAAGGGCAGAAATTTGCTCGCGAATAAAAGGTCATGATCAATAATAGCTCGCTCGCAAAATATTGCACGTTTTCTATGTTAAGAGCTTTCAAGTTTGCTTTTTTTTGCTGTCAGAATTCAAAAGAAAACATGCAAATATGTGGCTCGCAAACAGTTCGTCCAAGCGAGATATTTCGCCTGGTTATTTTTAATTAAAACCACTCGCATTAATGATTCTGCCTTTACAACGCACTATATTCAAGAAAAACAGACGAAATACATATCCTAGTATTTCACGGAGAAAAAATGCCATAAATAAAGCCTTTATTACTTTGGGCGACTACTTTATATACAGCTGGATTATTGACTGGGAAAACATTCCAAGTATTGATAAATGGCCTGAATGTGTCAAAGAATATAAGTCCTTAAATATTAATTCAAGATATCATGATATCAGTGTCCCTACGTCAGTTTCTTGACCATAAAGAGGAGTCATTTGGAGTAAATCGCCCTATAGTAGAGCAACCATGGAACAACCAAAAGATTTTGTGTGTTGTGCCTCTCGCTTATTCATTTTGATTGTGTGTATATGCCTTCACAATGCCTCATCACAACACACAGTTGATTGGACCATGGAATCAGGATGGTTTGACCCAGGCAGAGTTCGACGAAGTGCGAAAAATTATACATGCACAGGAGATCAAACAACGTTTGCATACAAAATGGATGGTAATTGTTTCGATGACAACGCTTGCTTCAAGATTTTTTCAGATTGTTGTTGGTATTACCCACGGCGATGTGGTCGACAGGATTCAAACAAAACTACTGATATCAAAGAGCCTGCTTCAGCGTGGAAATGTGTGGAATCAAGTTTCCCACTGGCGCTATCACAGACGAGCTGTCGCGTCGACGGAGTAACCGGTGTTTGGATGATAACTAAATGTCCCGCAGACGACACCTTAAACGGGCTAGTAGCTAAATGTGAGAACGCCACAACGGAGTTTTCGTATCCCGTAGAAGATATTATCCCGGTAATTGGGGCAAATTTCCTCACTTACCGTAATAAGCACTGCGCCTTGTGCAATGGTGTAGAAAATTTCACAGCTTGGGATATACGTGTTGATGCATACGTTGTTCCCCCCGAGGGCTACGACCTGGATCAACAGTTAAAGTTCATCTTGGAAAACGGGGGAAAGATTAAACATTTTGCCCCCCGTGATGGTCAACCGCGGAGGTATTGTTATGGAAAGAATTATATTGATACTTGTAATGCAGCGAATCAACATTATAAAGGTTGTGTTGAAGGACCTATTGCAGTCGTAGGCGATGGACGCATCATGTACTTCAAGAACCAGGAATGTGCGTCTTGCAATGGTCGTCCTGACGTGACCGGATGGGGCACGAGTGGTTCTTGCGGCCCCGTAATGTCTGAAAAATTTTCGATCGTGTTTAAACTTAGGGGAACGAGTAAACGTGTATCTACGACAAGTGTCGTGACAAAGTTCTGTCCCTCTGGTTCCGTGTATGATACAAGCTTGAAGTTTTGTCGCAAAGGATATGTTATTTCTGCCAGTGATAGACTTGCTAGTGAATTTCTTGTCCTATTATGGTTAAAACCTCCTAGAATCTACTGGGGACCGAATTTTTGGCTTGAACATTGGTTACGAACTGCGTTAACATCTCAATTTTCGCTGTTACGATATCAAATTTCAAAAGTTACTGTCGAAGAGCAATATAGAACGAACATCTTCCTTGTAGCGACGTTTCGGTTAACCTTGACGCCATTTCAAAGCCTGATAATGGCAAACCCAAACGAACCGAAGTTGAATATCACTCGTGAAAATATCGCTTTCTTGCAACTTATGAACTCCACAGGCAATTTTACGCTAGTTTGGGATGGATACAATGTTTCTGTAATAAATTTAATTTCGAAACAGCTCTCGTGCTACTGAGAGGTGAAGTCTTATGAACACGACATTGACAGGGAAAATGGAACTTTTGTCCGGAATGGAACAGGAGAAAGGTTGTTACTGGAGGACTACACTATTGTTAAAGAAGAAGGTGGAAATGTTACATTATGTCGTAAATTGGTCTTGTCAGATTGTTTGGGAGGATCTTACGTTCCGTTAGCTCCAAACGAATACAGGACTTTTCCTAATTTATCAGTTTATTACAAAGCAACGAACCGAACTTTCCATTTCGGAGATTATCTGATCAGAGAAAATAGCAACGTCACATCTGAAGACTCAGGAAACTCGACAATTGCCATTTGTTTGCCTTTCAAAACCACGTTCAACGAAACTGAAGTACAATACAAAACAAACCGGACAAGTTATGCGTTACGAATTCTGACTATGATTGGTTTCAGTGTTTTGATAACCTGTTTGATTCTTCTTCTGTTAACTTATGGATTATTCAAAGAATTACAGACAGTACCTGGATTGAATCTGATGAACTTGAGTTTTTCCATGTTTTTCTCCCAGCTCGTATGGCTGGTGGGTACCTCTCATTTCACAGGGACAACCACATGTAAAGCTTTCGCCATAGTGGGACACTATCTTCTGCAAGCATCATTTCTGGCCATGTCCGTCATTTCACATCATGCTTGTCTCACGCTATCAAATCCCTTCATTGGACGAATCGTCAACAAATCTTTGCGGAGATTTATCGCGTATTCAGCATTCGTGTGGTTAATTCCTGCCATTGTGGTCGCAATTTGTGTCATTTTGGATGAAACAGAAGTCTTCTCAGTGGATTATGGAACAAACTGTTGGATGGGAACTGCAAATGCTAAGCTGTATTTGTTCCTGTTACCCCTGGCTATACTTCTACTGTATAATATCTTCAGATTTATCCAAACAGCACGTGGTTTATCTCGTCATGACAAAGACCGGAAAATGTTACAACAGAAAGAAGGAAAACCAAATCTTCTCATCTGCGTAAAAATTGCGACGTTGGTCGGCTTTCCCTGGCTGTTTGCTTTCTTTGGTGTTCTGTTTCCCGATGTTGAAGCGTTCGAATATTTGTTTGTTATTTTCGTTTGTTCGCAAGGATTGTACATTGGAATGGCATTCCTGTTCAAAAAGAAAACTTTGAAACTCTATCTTGATCGATGGGACGTGTTATTTACATCGCGAGAAAACTCATCTTCACAAGCGACTGGTGCGCTGACCTTTGAAATGACATGATGAAAATGCGAGCTAGATTTGAAACACATCTTAATTTCACTTAGGCGTAAATACTAATACTACAGTTGGGGACAATTGGCTTCAATTGTTTTTCAAATGTATACTTCTATCATAGTAATAACCTACTTCTACTAGCGACTTTAACTTGCCGCACTTAATACCGTATATAACTTATTAGTAACTTTAACTACGCTTGGGTATTGCTTTATAATTGCTTTATTTATTGCTAATATTTATCAAGCCAGGGGGGGAGGACAGAGTTTGTGAGAGATGAAATTTTTACTCAAGAGTAATAGCTCGAGTTAAGAGCATGTCAAACCTGACTTTTTACTGTCAGAATTGATGCATGTAAATATCGAGTGAATATGTAGCTAAGAGGAAATCGACTTAGGATAGACCTTATCACTGGCCCATGTGCTTTTTCTTGCCACAGTGTGAAATATTTCGCCCCTTTTAATTTCGAGCATAAAGTTTTTAAAACAATTTGTTCGTAGTTTGAAAGAGACAGCCCTGCAATACGTTTTCTTTGCCAAAGTGAAATATTTCGCCTCTATTGAAACCACTCGAATAAGTCATTCACAATAAACATGTTATCCATTCATTTGGACGAGGCTACCTTCGACGCTGTCATAGCGATTATGGCTACAATTGGATTTTTTACTGCATAAATATTCCAAGAATTTTATAAATGGCGTAAATGTGTCAAACAATATAAGTCCTTGAATCTTTCTTCAAGATATCACTACAGCAGAGTCTCTGCGTCAGCTTCTCGATCATAAAGAGGTGCTTGTGCATTCGGAATAATTTAATCGCTCTAGTGGATCAACCATGAAACAACCGAAAGATTTCGTGTGTTGTGCTTCTCCCTTATTCATTTTGATCGTCTGTATATGCCCTCACATTGCCACATTACAACACACAGTTGATCTACTCGAATCGAAATCATCTGAGCGGACTACGGAATCAAGACGGCAAAACCCAGGCAGAGTTCGACGAAGTTCGAAAAATTATACATGTAGAGGAAATCAAACAACGTTTGAATACAGCGCGAATGGTGGTTGTTTTTACGACAACGCTTGCTTCAAGATTTTTTCAGATTGTTGTCCGGATTACCCAAAGCTATGTGGTGGACAGGAGTCAAACAAAACTACCGATATCAAAGAGCCTGCTTCAGCATGGAAATGTATCCCATTTGGTGTCGCGCGCGGAGAGGATATTTCATGCGTAGCCCTTGGAATAACCGGGGTTTGGATGATAAATAAATGTCCATCTAACGACTCCGTCAACAGGTTAGTAGCCAAATGTAAGGACGTCCCAATGGGGCTATCGTATCCTACAACAGAGTTTTCGTATTCTGTAGGGGATATTATTCCAGTGGTTGGGGAAAATTTCCTTACTTACCGTAATAAGTACTGCGCCTTGTGCAATGGCGTAGAAAATTTCACATCTTGGGATATACGTGTTAAAACAAACGTTGTTCCCCCCGAGGGCTACGACCTGAATCAAAAGATCAAGTTTATCTTGGAAAACGGGGGAAAGATCGAATCTTTTTCGCCCCACATGGATCAACCACGGAGGTATTGTTATGGAATGAATTATATAGACAACTGTAATAATTCAACAAATCAACATTATAAACGTTGTATTGAAGGTCCTATTGCAGTCGTAACAAGCAGCGAACATAAATACTTCAAGAACCCTGAATGTGCGTCGTGTAATGGTCATCCTGGCCTGGTCGTATGGCACGCAGAAAGAGGTTGCGGCGGGGGCGTAGGATCTGACAAATTTTCGATCGTATTCAAGCTGAAGAGGACGACTGAACGTGTTATTACGACTAGTGTCGTGTCAAAGTCCTGTCCGTCTGGTTCCGTTTATGATACAAGCTTGAAGTTCTGTCGCAAAGGATATGTTATTTCTTCCAGTAATAAACTTGCCAACGAATTTTTGATCCTGCTGTGGTTAAAACCTCCTCTTAGAAGCGACTGGAAACTGCATTCGACACTTGGAAATTGGCTACGAACTGCATTCACATCTCGCTTTTTGCTTTTTCCAAATCAAATCTCTGAAGTTACTTTCCATAAGCAATACATATCAGCCAATACTTTTTTCGTTGCGACGTTTCGGTTAACCCTGACGCCATTTCAAAGCCTAGTAATGGCCAACCCAAATGAACCGGACTTGAACATCACTCGCGAAAATATCGCTTTTTTGCAACTTTTGAACTCCACAGGCAATTTTACGGTCGCTTACGATGGATACAATGTTTCTATAATAAATTTAATTTTAAAACAGCTCTCGTGCTACGGAGAGGAGAAGTCACATGAACACGACATTGACAGGGAAAATGGAACTTTTCTCGTGAATAAAACTGGCGAAAGATTGTTACTGGATGACTACACTATTGCTAAAGAAGAAGGTGGAAATGTTACATTATGTCGTAAATTGGTCTTGTCAGATTGTTTGGGAGGATCTTACGTTCCGTTAGCTCCAAACGAATACAGGACTTTTCCTAATTTATCAGTTTATTACAAAGCAACGAACCGAACTTTCCATTTCGGAGATTATCTGATCAGAGAAAATAGCAACGTCACATCTGAAGACTCAGGAAACTCGACAATTGCCATTTGTTTGCCTTTCAAAACCACGTTCAACGAAACTGAAGTAAAATACAAAACAAACCGAACAAGTTATGCGTTACAAATTCTGACTACGAGTGGTTTTAGTGTTTCGATAACCTGTTTGTTTCTTCTTCTGTTAACTTATGGATTATTCAAAGAATTGCGGACAGTTCCTGGATTGAATCTGATGAACTTGAGTTTTTCCATGTTTCTGTCCCAACTCGTATGGCTGGTGGGTACCTCTCATTTCACAGGGACAACCACATGTAAAGCTTTCGCCATAGTGGGACACTATCTTCTGCAAACATCATTTCTGGCCATGTCCGTCATCTCACATCATACCTGTCTCACGTTGTCAAATCCCTTCATTGGACGAATCGTCAACAAGTCTTTTCGACGATTTATCGCGTATTCAGCATTCGTGTGGTTAATTCCTGCCATTGTGATCGCAATTTGTGTCATTTTGGATGAAACAGAAGTGTTCCTAATAGATTATGGAACAAATTGTTGGATGGAAACTGCAAATGCTAAGCTATATTTGTTTCTGTTACCCTTGGCTATACTTCTACTGTATAATATCTTCAGATTTATCCAAACAGCACGTGGTTTATCTCGTCATAACAAGGACAGAAAAATGTTAAAACAGAAAGAAGGAAAACAAAATCTTCTCATATGCGCAAAAATTGCGACGTTGGTCGGCTTTCCCTGGCTGTTTGCTTTCTTTGGTGTTCTGTTTCCCGATGTTGAAGCCTTCGAATATTTGTTTGTTATTTTCGTTTGTTCACAAGGATTGTACATTGGCGTCGCTTTTCTGTGCAACAAAAAAACTTTGAAACTTTATGTTGATCGATGGAACGCATTCTTGACGTCACGAGAAAATTCATCTTCACAAGCGACTGGTGCGCTGACCTTTGAAATGACATAATGAAAATGCGAGCTAGATTTGCAAATCTTGATTTCACTTGGGTGTAAATACTAAACGATACCTGGGCACAGTTAGGGACAATTGGCTTTAATAGTTTTTCCATTGTATACTTGTAGTAATAACCAACTTATACTAGCGACTGTAACTTGCCGCATGCACTTGGGCTCTAAACCAATAGTTTTGCGTTGCATACTTCCACCTTAGTGGAAACTATATAACTTATCAGTGACTTTAAGTACACACATTGGTATAGCTTGCTATAATTGCTTTGCATTTGATTTCGAGTTTAATAATATTTAGACATGCAGACATATCCTATTCAGTGAAAATGCTTCTTTAAGTATACTCGTGATTCCTTCTGGTGACATATTTCGTTAAGGAATTAGCTTGTTCAAAAATGGGGACAGTTTATACTCCCTCAAATTTCATATTGTGCTTGTCTTTATTTGTTTTAATTGGATTTTATTGTATAGTTTACAAGGATTGTAGCTACATTGCATTAGCGTTTCTTTTTCACCAAAAAACTCTGAATCTTTATAAAAGTCTATGGAAAAAAGACACCACGTTTAATTCCTACAGCAGCAACGGACAAAGCATTCAGACGAGGTCAAAAAATGCGAATGAAGAATAAAATCGCATTTTATTAATTTTAGGGGATTTTGTTAAATTCAATCCTTTATGATGACCCTCATTTTGTATGCCTGCCGACCTGTTCAATTTTAATGTAGACTAGCAGGCTAAAGATAAGGTTTGCTAGCAGTGGCGTAGCCAGCATTGCATGCATGCCTGACGATTTAGTTATGCTATGGAAATTTTACTGTCGACCTAGCTATAAGATAATGTTTGCTAGTCATGGTGGAGCGAATTTTTAAAGCTCTGTTGGCTCTATCTGTTATACAAATATATCCATGCATATACTCCTGTTTTTGTCCATATTGTATTTTCTTATAAAAATCGTCCACTACAGTCTGTTTCATCCGTATATAGGAATCAGCAGGGGTTATCTTTATATCAGCTGCGAAGTCCGGATAGAAAAATATCTTCGTAGACGTTCATAGACATTTTAAATTAAGGTTTTGGAAGAAATATTTTCCTAAAGTATTTTGTGACGATTACAAGGTCATTTAAAGCGAAGCTGCAGCACCAGCCACCAAGCTAACTTTTTCAAATTACGGAGAAGCTATTTGTTTTATCGTTTTATGGCAACAAACGTTACGATAAAACTGTTCGAACTCGCTGTTCGAAACTTAAGTCGCTGCGATATCATGCATGCATAGCGCTTCAAGTTCCATTTCAATCCAATTATCGTTATCATTTTAAAGTGCCTATATATCAATTGTGGGATCTTTATGCATTTGAAAAGAATGTAAAAAGTTAGTTGATATATTAAAAAAGTTTTTTGATTTAGTGCAATAATTTTGAAGATACTAGCCTTCAAACTACCTGCAGTTCCTGAGTCCCAGGCTCCTGTAAACAATGGGCAGTAATAGCCGTTTTTTAAACCCAGGAGGTTGGGACTCAGGAACTGCAGGTAGTTTAAAGGCTAGTATCTTCGAAATTATTGCACTAAATCAAAAAACGTTTTTTAACATATTAACTAACTTTTTACGTTCTTTCCAAATGCATAAAGATCCCACGAGTGATATAGGCACTTTAAGTTATCTTTTTATCAAATTATCATTTTCAAGTTCTCTTTCCATCCATCCAATTATGTCATCATCATTTTTCAAGTTTTCTTTCCCTCCATCCAATTATCAATATCATTTTCATGTTCTCGTTGTATCTGTCCATCCAATTATATCATCATCTTTATTTTCAAGTTCTCTTTCCATCCATCCATCCATCCAATTATATCATCGTCATTATTTTAAAATTCTCGTTCCATCCATCCATCCATTTTTCAAGTTCTCTTATCATCCATCCAATTACCATCAACGTTTTTAAGTTCTCTTTACATCCACCCAATTATCACCATCTGTTTAAATCTTGAGCAGCTGAGTGTGGAAATTAGGCGAGCTTTTCTCAGGGAAATGCGAGTAAATATTTTACCTGTTTATATGATAATATATATATTCAAGGACACACATGGAAATTCAAATCTTCGCATTTCACTTCAGAAAAATATTCAATTGATCAGAATATTATCAAACAATGTAGACCCCCTTGAGCTGAAAGTCATTAGTGTTATTGCTATCGCAAAATCGCCGTGTTCTCGGCTATAAAAGGCTGTGTACATTTGGGGTAGCTAAATCACACAGCAACGGGCATAATGAAGCTAACGACAGACATTTTGCGCTATTCTCCTTTCATATTCGTTTTGATGAGGTGTATATGCGTTCACAATGCCACATCACAGCGCACAGTTGATCGACTCGAATCGAAATCACTTGAGCGGACTATGGAATCAGGATGGTTTAATCCTGGCAGAGCTCGTCGAAGTTTGAGACAGGAATTATGCACAGGAAATAAGACAGAGTTCGTGTATAATTATAAGAACACTTGTTTCTACGACCACGCTTGCTTCAAGATTTTTTCAGATTGTTGCTTCTTAGTCGGAATATGCGGCGTTCAGGAGTCAACCAAGACTACTGACATTAAAGAGCCTGTTTCAGCGTGGAAATGTGTCGAATTTGGTCCTTTGCTTCGGCTCTCAGGGCAGTGTAAAATCATTGGAGTTACCGGGGTTTGGATGATATCCAAGTGTCCAGCAAACGACACCAAAGGGACAAAAGCTAAATGTGAGAATACGCTATCCGAGTTTTCGTTCCCCTTAGGTAATCTCATTCCCGTAGTTGGAGCAAACGCTCTCACTTACCGTAATAAGTACTGCGCCTTGTGCAATGGCGTGGAAAATTACACAGCTTGGGATATACGTGTTGAGACATACGTTGTCCCCCCGAGGGCTACGACCTGGATCAACAGATCAAGTTTATCTTGGAGAACGGGGGAACGATTAAACCATTTTCGCCCCGCAACGGTCAACCGCGGAGGTATTGTTATGGAAAGAATTATATTGATACCTGTAGCAATGAAACAAATCGACATTATAAATTTTGTGACGGTCCTATTATGGTCGTAACAAGCAGCGAATATCACTTCAAGAACGTTAATTGTGCTTTATGTAATGGTCATTTCACTTTAAATTGGGAAACAAACTTTATCTGCAGCCCCGTAACATCTGAAACGTTTTCGGTCGTATTCCAACTAAGAGGACGAGTAAAGGGTTGTCTACGACTAGTGTCGTGTCAAAGTCCTGTCCGTCTGGTTCCGTGTATGATACAAGCTTAAAGTTTTGTCGCGAAGGATATGCTATATCTTCCAGTAATAGACTTGCTAGTGAATTTTTTATCCTTTTGTGGTTAAAACCTCCTCCTAGAAGCACTGGAAACTGAATTCGACACTTGAAAATTGGCTACGAACTGCATTTACAACACGTTTTTGCTTCTTCCAAGTCAAATATCAGAAGTCACTTTCCATAAGCAATACGAATCAGCCAATAATATTTTGTGGCGACGTTTCAGTTAACCCTGACGCCATTTCAAAGCCTAGTAATGGCCAACCCAAACGAACCTAACTTGAACATCACTCGCGAAAATATGGCTTTTTTGCAACTTTTGAACTCCACAGGCAATTTTACGCTAGGTTGGGATGGATACAATGTTTCTGTGGTAAGCGTTGTTTCAAAACAACTCTCGTGCTACGGAGAGGAGAAGTCACATGAACACGACATTGACAGGGAAAATGGAACTTTTCTCGTGAATAAAACTGGCGAAAGATTGTTACTGGATGACTACACTATTGTTAAAGAAGAAGGTGGAAATGTTACATTATGTCGTAAATTGGTCTTGTCAGATTGTTTGCGAGGATCTTACGTTCCGTTAGCTCCAAACGAATACAGGACTTTTCCTAATTTATCAGTTTATTACAAAGCAATGAACCGAACTTTCCATTTTGGGGAGTATCTGATCAGTGAAAGTTTGAACAAAGAAAATAGAACGTTACAACTGGAGATTTAAAGAACTCAACGATTGCCATTTGTTCACCATTCAAAAATACTTTCAGCAAAACTGAAGTAAAATCCCAAAAACCCCCAACAAATTATGCGCTTCGTATTTTGACTACGATTGGTTTCAGTGTTTCCATAACCTGTTTGATTCTTCTTCTGTTAACTTATGGGTTATTTAAAGAGTTGAGAACTGTTCCTGGATTGAATCTGATGAACTTGAGTTTTTCCATGTTTCTGTCCCAACTCGTATGGCTGGTGGGTACCTCTCATTTCACAGGGACAACCACATGTAAAGCTTTCGCCATAGTGGGACACTATCTTCTGCAAGCATCATTTCTGGCCATGTCCGTCATCTCACATCATACTTGTCTCACGCTATCAAATCCCTTCATTGGACGAATCGTGAACAAGTCTTTTCGACGATTTATCGCGTATTCAGCATTCGTGTGGTTTATTCCTGCCATTGTGGTCGCAATTTGTGTCACTTTGGATGAAACAGAAGTGTTCCCAGTAGATTATGGAAGAAACTGTTGGATGGAAACTGTAAACGCAAAGCTATATTTGTTTCTGTTACCCCTGGCTATACTTCTACTGTATAATATCTTCAGATTTATCCAAACAGCACGTGGTTTATCTCGTCATAACAAGGACAGAAAAATGTTGCAACAGAAAGAAGGAAAACAAAATCTTCTCATATGCGCAAAAATTGCGACGTTGGTCGGCTTTCCCTGGCTGTTTGCTTTCTTTGGTGTTCTGTTTCCCGATGTTGAAGCCTTCGAATATTTGTTTGTTATTTTCGTTTGTTCACAAGGATTGTACATTGGGATCGCTTTTCTGTTCAACAAAAAAACTTTGAAACTTTATGTTGATCGATGGAACGCGTTCTTGACGTCACGAGAAAATTCATCCTCACGAGCGACTGGTGCGCAGACCATTGAAATGACATGATGAAAATGCGAGTTAGATGCGCAACCCAATTTCGACTAATCGATACCTTGAACAGTTTGTGCAATTAGGGATAGCCTTAATCAATAGTTTTTATATTGTATAACTTAGTGCCGCACTTGGGCAGCATCTGCACATGTAGTTAATTGGGGATAATTAGGCGGAGCTGTAATTTATAGTTTTGCGTTGCATACTTCAAAGTTGGTGGAAACTATAGAACTTATTAGTAACTTTAACTTGCGGTCATTTGGGCACGCTTAGGCATAGCTTTTTAATCCATAGCTTTGTATTGTATATATTGTAGTAACAACAAGTTTTTCTCTGTTTAATAAGAGCTCTTATTTGAACATCAGTAACTAATTCACTCGTTCATATCAAAAGAAGAAAATCGCACATAAAACCCAGCAAAAAGTGCAAGTGTAAAGGCCTTAAAGGGCCTATGACAGCACCTCCAGACCTCTGAAACATTGATCTGCGAGCACTTATTCGTCTCCCGGCCCCGAATTGATGTTTTTCATCGATTGTTCTTGCACAAACGCACCAGCAAGCTCTACCCTACTCGAGCTACTTTAGCGCGGCCTCCCACAATATTTTGAAAAACTTTGTACTGCATGGGGGAAATGTTTGTGGAATACTCCTCTTTTATATCCTTCTCCCTTTCACGAGCAATCCCATTACTGCATTAGGAATATATTACACTATACGCGACTCGTGTTTTGTTTCCAAATTTTAAGAGTTTTTTCATCATAAGGCCTAGTTCATACGTTGCTTTTTGTTCGCGTCGAATGCAATTCAAACAATGAATAATGAGATGACAATGAGGTTGAATGAGGTTTAACGTCTCATTATCTATTGTTTGAATTGCATTCGACGCGCCTTAAATGCAACGTATGAACTAGACCTTGTGATCCAAAAAAAAACTCTTCTAATTGCCCTCTAAGTGCTCCATTTTAAAATTTGGTTTCAGCGGGAGAGGACGACTGTATTTCAACGAGCAGTATTGGCGATGGAGGTAATGAACTGGGGATGGGAAAAGTCCAAAAGCAGGTGGAAGATCACGTGCCTCATGGGAAACAAATTGCCTGCGTGGTGCCGTCAGATTTCCTCATCACAGCAGGGGTGTCGAACTGGGGTGGTTATGCCATTGCTGTCGGATTGTACGTGTTGTCCACGTGCCCGATTCATGTTAGGTACGTGCGACGGGGGCTCGCGAATGTCGGCGAAGATGACAAAGGAAAGGATGATTTTTTGAACACCGTGGAGCAGGTACTAGATAAAAATATTTTCTTCGAGCTTGATCTAGATTAGGTCCAGTTTGAGCGCATGGGGTGATGAAACGGCGATGGTCGTGAGGTAGGGTGGTAGTCCTTCCCTTTTAGGGATCATCTATCAGTAAAAAAGAGATACCAAGATGTAATTTAGAAATCCCCCTTATATAGATCGGAGTAGTCCTCAACCCCCCTCCTCTATGATATATATCATAGTAAAGACTACGTAATCTTGGGTCCAGAAAAAACTTGAAGCATCTCATAAATTATTTGGCTAATATTTTCAGGAAGCTGAAATTTTGAAAATGTTAGCGGCCGAAGGAGTTCGCGATGGTATAACAGAAAAGGCTGAGCAGTCTGTTGATGGTTTTCAATTTTATCCTCACCATGCTGAGCAAATCGAAAAATTTTTGAAGTCTTTGTAATGGATATCGGCATTGAGGCATTTGATCCCAAAAAACATAATTTGAACATTTTTCTCTGTCTGGCAATGTAAACATACCTATACATTAGAAATAAATATATTGTAGTAAAGTGTTGACCAATGATTTGGTTAACGAGCCGAAAACGTTGAATAAATTAACGTAGTCTACGAGTACCAACAAACATATATAATTTAGTTCCAAGTCTTATAGACTCTAAGTACAAACAATTGGTATTAAATTGATGATGATTAATATCTTCACAAAACAAGATTATGATCCTGACAACATATTATATGAATTGAATTTTCTTAACTTCATGTGACATGTAATGGACGACTTGCGGTTTAGGCTAATTTCTTACCCCGGCGACAAAAAGGACATCTTTGAAAGAGCATATTAAAATTAGTAAAGTTGACAAATTTTGTATACTTCTGAATCACAGCCTGAAATGTGTAACTAAATCAGTTACTTGGCATTTCCGCACGTAATACAAAAGTATATAAAATTTGTTATATTGGTTATATTTTCTGTATTTATTTCTGCATTTTTACATAATTTCGCAGTCCTGGGGTGGATGCCTAGGTTCTTGAGTGAATCCTGAGCTAGTGTGCGGTTGCTGCGATGTAGGAAAACTATAAGGCGAGGTTTCGTCACTCGAGTTTGAAAAACTGAAGCTGGAAGGAGACGGTCTGGAATAGGTGTCAGGGTTCTGAAACCAGAACCCGAGGTCCTGGGATGAATGCCCAGGTTCTTCAGTGAATCCTGAGCTAGCGTGCAGTTGCCGCGATGTAGGAAAACTAGGAGGCGAGGTTTCATCACTCGAGTCCAAAGAACTGAAGCTGGAAAGAGACGGTCTGGAATAGGTGTCAGGGTTCTGAAACCAGAACCCGAGGTCCTGGGATGAATGCCCAGGTTCTTCAGTGAATCCTGAGCTAGCGTGCAGTTGCTGCGATGTAGGAAAACTAGGAGGCGAGGTTTCGTCATTCGAGTCCGAAGAACTGGAGCTAGATGTGGACGGTCTGGAATGGATGTCAACGTCCTGAAAACTTGGGCCGAAGTGCTGGGGTGAATGCTTAGGTTCTTGAGTGAATCCTGACTCACCAGAAACGTATGGCAGGACAGTACCCAGTATGGCTGGTATCTGAGATATCATCATTTTAGCTAAACTATTGGATGTCTGGGAATAGTTAGAAGAGTCCTTATGTTCATGTCGTTTTTCATCTAAAATTGAAAAAAAACACAGATGGTGATGAAACGAGCACGTTTGTAGCTATTAGGGCAGCACTTAGGTGATTGCATTTTTCGGCTTAAAATGCCGAACATCGATACAGCTGAGTCTGGCTATTTCTCATGTTCCGACAAATCATGCTACTCCTGCACCTTTGAAAAAAACAATCATTTCCTTCTTGGCAAATATTACAAGAAATTTGAATCATGATTTAAATGGCCATCCACCAATTTAAAACTTTTTTAGTTCGTTGTATGCTGATATAATCGTATACTATTCTAATTATACTTTTCATAGCTTCTCCTGCTAGGCCTCAATCCGACATCTTCGACGTAGGGCACTTAATCCGGATTCACAGTAGAAATGCAACGTGAAGTAACATACCACTCTTCCGCTGGCGCTCTTCTTTTTCTACAGCTTCAACCTTTTCTTCGAACTTCCTCGCAGTCCAACTTTCTAACATTCTTAGCTCTTCTTCTGTACACTGGGTAACTAGATGTAGACCGCTGGTACTATTCTGGAATATCTCGATAATTTTTCTCTTCTTCTGTTGAAAAGTTTTCCGAAGACTGGGGACGTCTGTTTCTTCTTGCCTCTGCAACTCTACCTCCACTGCCCATCTAAAATCTTCGACAGCTTTCATCAAACGTATTTGCTGATTCGATTTTTCCTCCTTTTCCTTAGCCTCAACTTTATCCTTTAATCTCATGGAGGCCCATGTTTTCAAATCTTGAAGTACACTGTTTACATATTCCTTCTCGAGGTCAACTTGTGCTGTGCTTCTTCTAAACTTGCCCAGAAGAGCATCGCTTTTCTTGATGAGGTGCTCTTCGAGATCTTGTTTCACAGGAGTATTGATAACCTTGTAAGCTTTGATAAGATTTTCCTCGAAGCACCGTTTTGCTTTGTCAACTGTACCACGTTGAAGCTGCCTGACCACTGACTTGACATTGACAATGTCACCGTTTTCCAGATTTTGCGCAAATGTTTTCACAAGGTCATCGACGTTCTCGAAATTAACAACGAAGTTACCAAAGCTACGTGGCTCTTTCAATTGACCAGATATGATGCTTTTTAATTCTTCGATGCGTGTTTGGAACTCTTCAGAAGTAGTGCGGAGATCAAGATTGCTCACGTCTCCGGAGGGTGTTGGAAGGGTAAAGACTTTAATGCTTTCGAACGAGGAGCGCAGCTTCTCACGAACCTTGTTCCTTTGATTAACGTCCTCGCCGCGTTTCATTTCTTCGTCAAAAATCTTGGCAAGAGCTTCCTCGTCGGTGCCTAAAAGTAGATAAAATTATGGCAGCTCTCAGCTGATTCAACAATAACAGGAACTCTCCAGTTAACTGGGGTTGAATATGACGCAGTAACTAGTTCGGATGCCAATTTCATTGGATTCGATAAAATTTATAAACACATTTTAACCTAACTTCCATGCGGCTTCACCACCTACCTTCAAAGTGAAAATCCCGTAACACAATATGTAGATGTCCAAATTTCGGCCTCTCGAGACTGTTTGACGACACACGGCTGGCGACCTCAACAAGAAGACCAAGCTCGTTCAGGATATTGTTCTTCTGGAGCCCACCTTTCCAATTAAACAGGATTACTTTCGACAAAAGAAGAATTGGTGTCAGGAGGGTAGCGTCACTCTCAATGCCTTCGTCTCCTTGTCCTTCAGTGTCCACGAAGAATGCACAGCCACTGTTTTCAATTCTGTGCATCACGCTTGCGACGTGGACCCCTTTCGTGCACACATCTATTTGGTTAGACGAGGGGAAAACTTTGTCACCAATAAGACAATTCATGACGAATGATTTGCCCTGTCTGGCCGGTCCGAGGATGGTAATGAAGTTGAGAAATTTGTCCAAAGCGGACGTTGAACGTTGCAACGGCTCCGGTGTAGAAACATAAAGTTTTCCGCCACTTCGGGTGATCCAAGACAAACACTTCTTACTCTCTGTGCTGGCATTTGCCCTATGAGAAGGAATGTCATTATATAACAACTTTTCAAATCATATTTCAATTTTTAATTTAATTTAAATTTATATGACTGTTGCCCCATCTCTTAATCTAAATCATGCATCTGCCTTGATAAAAATTGCTGTGTCATACTGCAGTCGTAATTATTATATTAATGGTTTCCCACACAGCTTGCATGTCATAGGCCTAGCGACCGCTAGAGTTTCGAAATCTATTGTGCGTGAATATTGTCTCGATATCATCACGATCATAAGTCATAAGGGTGTTTCCACAAAGTTAATATAGTATAATGTAATAAGAAAATTATACTCTAATATAACTATACTCTATACTGAGAAGGAACGTCATTATACCCAATCATATTTAAGTTGGCTCGATACAGTTTTCAAAAATTCCATCGTTCATCAGTTTGACACGTTCAAACAACGCATTTTTATGATTTATTCTGGAGATATTGGGGTTTTTTATATATTTTGATGTCTCTACTTTTGAATCGTATTAGTTTTAGTAGCAGATCGTCCGTTGCTATGGCGACATACGTGTACAAAATTCACTCCAAATTCCAAAATTGCCACGGATAGTTGGAAAAGAAGCACGGTGACCCCCAATTTTTTTCGTGCATTATTTTACTTGGAAGAAAAACTAACAATTAGCAAAATATAAAAAATTCTATAATGCTACATTTTTGCTATAAAATGCTACAAAAATGCAAAAATGACATTTTTTCGATAATTTTTTTTTCCCACTATAGAATTTTTTTATATTTTGCTAATTGTTAGTTTTTCTTCCATGTAAAATAATGCACGAAAAAAATTGGGGGTCACCGTGCTTCCTTTCCAACTATCCGAGGCAATTGGTCATTTTGGAGTGAATTTTGTACTCGTATGTCGCCATAGCAACGGATGATTTGTTACTAAAACTAATACGATTCAAAAGTAGAAACATCAAAATATTTAAAACCCCAATATCTCTGGAATAAATCATAAAATGCGTTGTTTGAACGTGTCAAAGTGATGAACGATGGAATTTTTGAAAGCTTTATCGAGCCAACTTAAAATCTAATTTAATTTAATGAATAAAATTTAATGTTATGCCTGTTGTCCGGTCCCATGCCGTTGTTATTAAAATTTTTTAGTAAAGTCTCACTCTAAACAACTCTAAACAAGACAACCTGTTGGCGTTTACTATATAAGGACTATACTTTAAATACTGACGCGACTGTCCGCGCGGAGTAGTAAGCCTGCGACACAACACAAAAAATAATAATCGCGAAACCTTAGACCCGAGTAATCATGCATCCGCTTTGATGAAAATTGCTGTGAATGCTGCTTTCGTAATTATATATTAATGGCATTCTCCACACAACTTGCATGTCATCGGCCTATAGTAAACGCTAGAGTTTCGAAATCTATAATGTATGAATATTGTCTCGATATCATCACGATCATAACGGGGTTTCCACTAAGTTAATATAGTGTTATGTGATAAGAAAATTATACTCTTAGACTTACACTGATTGGGGGATATACGTGGTCATAAAGATACGGTTATGTCAGTCTTGCAAGGTTGCATAGAATTGTTTGCTGATTGGATTTGGTAATACTTCGATGCCCACGCAAATAATTCACCTCATAAACACTCTTAAGTCTACATGCATACACTACGTCTACAACATGATAGTTTAGTGCTGATACTTACGGGTTGTCCGACATAATTGTTTGTATTCTCTTTTTCTCTTTTATCGAGTAAATACTAAAGATCATTAACAAGGGAAGCGAATAAAGCTAAGCGATTGATAACACGTTAGTTTTTTCTTTGACTTTCTCGTACAGTTGGGGTTTAGAAATATTCTTTCGTCTCCCAAGTTACTTTCTCAGATTAGCTGCGGCACTGTGTATGACGCTGCGTCATGCAGCTGCTTTTCTTAGTGTGGCAAACGGCTAACAGCCAATCACATTTTAGTATCCACAGCGTCATAGCTAATTTTAAGATTTTTTTATCACTGCACATATCATCACAATAGTATAGTGGAAAGGGGCATGATAAAAATGGTCCTAACTGGAAATTGGTAATTTAAAGATGCGTATCACGCCCTGACGCCTGCAGGAATTCTAGTTTTGGTAGTCAAGACGAAAAATTCAAACTTCAAAATTTCCGGCCGTGACTACTAAGACCAGAATTCCGGCTGCAGGTGTCACGGCTTGTTACGTCATTGTGCATAAGGTCTATTGCAGGCGACTTTTTTCTAAGACCCTGTTTATAAACATAAAAAAATGAAGACAGAAAAATCGATCTAAATTTATTGAAAAAATTAGCAGAAATGTATTTTAAAATTGAAATTTAAGTACGTATTTCTCATAAGGCTGATATATTCGGCTGATCTGAGCTACTCTTCGAATGTTTTCCCAAATGTTTTCCTATCGCGAATAATTTAGGAGACTGATGAGTGATGTAAATTCGTCGTGTTAGTCAAAGTGTTTGATGCAAACACACTGAATTATAGATGGAAAGTGTTTATTTTGATTCAAAACAAAATCACCTTCAAACAAATTTTAACATACATATTTAGTGTTTTGAAAATAAATCTACCTTGTTGGATAAACGTGTCTAAACATGTACATATAAAGTTTCTAGAGAGCTCCACATATGTTTACTATTTTATGAGTGAACTTTTGAATCATATTTTGTTTGCGTAAACTTTTCAGAAGTTAACTTTCATGTTCTTCTGTGAAAATCGGCTTCAAGTATTTGTTATCAAAGTTACACCAAACTCGAACAAGCCAAGCACTTTCGTACTGCTTTTTCTCCCGTCTTTCCTCAGGAGTGCTGAGTGAGGGATCATTGATGTCGATTAGGCTCAGCCTGCGAGCTTTTAACTCCTCCATTTGTTCATCAACGCCGGTTTTAATCTCCAGGAGTTTGAGTACCGGGGTTGTGGCACCTCCTATAAGAATCACCGACACGAGAACTATAGACAAAGTCGCCGTGAGCATCATTTGCCGAGGCATTGAAACCGTATTCCGTACGGCTAACGCGAACGCTATCGCACCCCGCAGTCCTGAAAACATCATCATATGTTGAAAATTCCAAGAAATCTTCCCGGATCTGCCTATATTCAAGAAGAAGCTTAGTGGGTAGATGTTAAGAATACGACCGACGGTGATAGCCAAGAACGCCCAGGCGATGAACCGGAAGTCCCATATATGAGTGGTTAACGTGAACAGCGACAAGCCGATGTATGAAAATATAAAATTTTCTGCCAGAAAGTTCAAAAGCTCGAACGTTTGGATTGTGCGCACGCGCGATGCCTCGGAAAGGTTCTTGTACGTGTAGTGTTGTTGCGTGACGCCGCAAAACAGAAGGGCGACGATGCCAGACCAATTGACAACCTCGGCTGCTAGGAAACTACTGTAAGACATGACGAAGAACAGCGCCGTTTCCAGAATGGGGAAGCTGCCGATTTTCGTCAGCTTCGTCACCAGTGCGTTCGTACACGCCACGCCGCTACCAATCAAAAGAGAGCCGAAAAATATCGAAAAGAAGCTGTTCAGCGCCCAGAGAAACGAATACAGGTCGAATTCGCGCTTAGCGCTCGGCTGGTAGGCCAAGTAGTTTTCCACGGCGCGGTATAGAACTATGGCGACCGCGTCGTTGAAAATGCTTTCCCCAAAAATTAACGCGTACAAATCCACGTCGACTTGGAGGTCGGTGATGATCGCTAGAACGGTGATGGGGTCGGTTGCGGCAATCATGGCCCCGAACAGCAAGCACTCAGTGAAATCAAACGACTCTGGGATGCCCATGTACACATTGTAACCATAGACCATCGCGCCGGTCGCAAAAGTCGAAATAATGGTGCCAATAAAAGCATACGTAAGAATCGCACCCAAATTGCGAAAAAAATAACGTTTCTTCATGTTGTACCCCGCGGAGAATATGATCGGTGGTAAAAGCACGTGGAAGAAAATCTCCGGGTTAAAAGTCGAACGAGCTTCTAGTTCGTTCTCGTGTTGATCGTTGTCATGATAAATGATTCCCTTAAAACTGTAGGAATAGAACGTTCCATTGATGTTTACTTTAAGGAGTTCTGGTGCCACCGTCAAATTGTTGCAATTATCAACGGTAATCGAGTTGTTGTAACTGTCGTGAAAGCGATTGTACTTGATAAGCGCCCCGACGACTATCCCAAAAACTGTCGCGACTCCCGTCTCGTGAAAGCAACGAAAGCGGCGAATTTTAAAAAGCCATGTCATCAGCACCGTGAATATAAGAAGATTTGTGAAGATAAGCATGCTTAGACTATCTATATTGTGTGAATTGGCTATTTCGCTTTCCCGTTTGCCTTCTAGTTTAACCGGTATATCCTCCTTTGTTATGTTATCCTTCGCCAGAGCTTTCTCGGTCAAGTAAACCACAAGAAATATGGCCATCGCTTTTGCTGAAGAGTACATGTTGAATCGAGAAATAAGCCAGACGTTCTTCGCGATTGTTGACGACTAAATTTTAGTTTATATTGTTATTCTCAATCTTCATGCCGCGCGATCTGCAGGTGTTTCGCTATGGACGAGCGAATATGAAAATGTTTTAACATGGATGAGCGCCTATACCTGCCTTCAAGTGCGCTTAATTACGGGTTAATTAAAATACTAAAAGCTTGTTTTCACGTTTTCCTGATGAATCACGTAGGTACAAATAAGCTTTGAAATGAAAAATTCTGAAAAACCGTTAAGTTTAGCTTGAAATTAAAATCTTCCGCATCTTTGACAGTTTGTCATACTATGAACGCCTATTTTTGTTTCCAACTGGTAGGATATTTTTTTCACGAGTGGTGGTTCATATTTATATTTTTGCATTGGCTTCTCTCGAAATTCCCCCACCGAGAGTAGAACTTTCAAAAAGCTTGAGTAAAAACCCAGGAAACTATCCTTGATATGGGCAAGTATCGGCATGTTCCGGTCATCTTAATAAATCGCGTGAATTTTCTGATCAGTGCCCAGTCTTCCTACAAACGACAACAAATCCCGGCCAAGATGTCTTCCACACGTGAAGAAGAAAAATATTTGGATTTTTTAAATAAATTCGAGTGTTCGTTATTTAATGGAGATGGCGTGGTGAATATTGCGGCACTGGAGCAGATGGCAAGCTGTATCTCTCAACCCAATGCGATATTTGGTAAGAAAATTTGATATAGTATGGGAAATTTATATTGGCACGTGGGCTCAGATTTTTACTCCACGGGTTGAAGGATATAATAAGGGCGCTTGTTGATATTAAAATAAACCTTTTCAGATGAGATTAGACGGATAGTGGAATGCTTGCCAAATGGAGATTATCGAATGATCTTTAATGGAACTTTTGCAAAGTGTTTGCTTGGCTCCAATAGTGGATTGAAATCAGGTATTAAAATACTGACTGCTCAGGGTTTGAGCGCTAAGACTGCAACATTGCGGAACAATATTGTGTGGTTACTTCCTAGAGAAGGTCCACTTGTAAAAGACTGTAATCTTAGGAGTAGGTGTTGATATATAAAAAGTAAAAACCTTGCAGAAAAACCATCAGAGACCCAAACAATCCTAAAGTTTGTGAGACTGAGAAGTACCTAATGTTAGGTTACTTAAGGTGGCTCCATACAATTTTTGAAATGAGGCAATCAAATAATAATACTGAACCACCTTAACAAAGTTTTAACCTCCCTCTTCTTTTAACATTTTAATCCTTAGATGATATTAGTTCACATTTTAAAGAACAGATTTCAAAAGAGCTGTCATCAACCAAATCACTTTTGGAATGCTATATAAGGTGGGGCACAGCATGCATATGGAAAGAACACTGTTCAATTATTGAGATTTGTAATTGAATTTGATGCAATATACTCAAATAATTTGAATACTGTCTTTTGCCCCATTAGGCAACTCCTTATTTTGTTACTTGGTATTGCATGTTTACAATTGGTCGTCCAGCAAAATTGGTTGGGTCCACCGTTAAGGGATGAAGAGTTAACAAAATTGGGCAATGGGGAAACAGTAAGCAGAGCATGCATGATTGTTCATTCATTGTTCTATACAATATGTTTATGTTACTATACTTTTTTAAGAACAGAGGTTTTTTGCTTTTGCATTATTCCACTAGCATTTGTTTATTACCACAGACAAAAAATCAACCAAAACAAGTTTTTGAATCCTTAAGCAGAGATGGAGAGGTATGGTAATTAGCAGTGAGCAAAACATGATATACATAGAAATTTATTATGAGAATGGCCACTCATGAAATATTATTATTACTAATGTTCCAGGAAGTATATGGTCTCGCTAAAAACATGGAATATTTATTGGCAGCAAGAACAATATTAGCAGATAGTCGAGACTTGCTTGTTAACATTAAGGTGTGTTGTGCACTATAATACATTGATGGTATAAAATGTCATTTAATATAAAGCTAGTTGGTCCATATGTGGTACCTAAATACATTTACATTGGATTTTCCACTAGACTCAACCTCTCTGGGAAATTCGATGCATTTATGTTCATCAGCAGTTGCTTGAAGAACCTTCGCCATCTCTGAAGGCAGAAGTAACACCTGCATTAGAAAGAAGTAAATAAGAATATTTATGTGGTAGTTTTTATTGCCATTTATAAAGATTAACAGATAATGACAATTATAGGAATCATACATTTAAGTACTTGTTAGTCTTTAGTGAACTATTGGTACTGTCAATGCTTTTCTTTTATACTTTCTTAATTTAGTTCATTTCGACGACCAAAGCTTCTCAAGGTATTGTAATTTGCACAAAATACATTTGAATCCCATTTCTAAATTATATGACAGGTTGACAGCAATGCATATTTTTTTATATATTTTAGCAAATTACTCTTTAGAGTATACTTAGAAAGTAGCTATCATTTTCTACAATATTTCGAGTGTAATAAAGCCAAGGTAACTGAAGATGGCTTTACGTTCTGTACTTTTGATTTTGTACAAAGCAGGTTATTGAATTTTTACCTCTTGTAGGAGCAAATTGAAAAGGCACAAAACTGTGTTGGATTAGAGCTTTACTTAGAAGGTACTTCTCAACGTTTAAAAGTTGGACTTCCTGTTTGTTTACCCCACATTCATTTTTAAAAGCCACTGTTTGTTTTTTTTTATGCTAGGGGCACTCGGTAAAAGAACGAAATTTCAGCAAATCGACTACACACAACTTCTAGCAAAAGCAAAAATAAACAATTGTTCAGGTATGAGCTTGGAAAATTGAATCAATGAATATTGGTTTTCCCCATTTATTGTCAGTCATTGTTTACTTTCACACTTTGTAGAAAATGGAGATTTTGAAAAATTGGATTTAGAACATTTGCCCAAGGTAAAGGGAAATATATTAAAGTTTACAGTTGATATCATCTAATAACTGCTCAGAACTGGCTGACAGTGTTGATGCTTATTGTGATTTTGGCGGGAAACGCTTCAATAATGTCCGACTTTCAATTTCTGCAGATTTTGTAAATTTTATTTGGCTAGACTGTATTCCGCTAGAACGTATAGTTATATAGTTTGCTTCCATGAAATTCGGCTTCTTGATCATTTATACATTCATACAAGCATCGTCTGCACATATTGCTATATCTTAGGATGTCACGTTGAATGACGACACGCTTTTAAACAAACCCAAACTCACAGACGGCGATAATAACCTTCAGGAAGAACTGAGTTCTCTACATTTGGCTGCCATCGTGGCTACCTGGTGAGTTTTCATCAAGTTCTCTAGCAAACCAGAAAAGGTTTCACGTAAAAAAAAGATAGGTGGAGAGTTTGAGTGGTTTGTTTTCAACTTGTTTACATGTTGTCCTTGGTTTGTTCCAGTTTTTACAAGCAGAAATCTCAAGCACATCATGAACTTTTAGATGAGGAGATACTTGCAAATGTGACGGTACGGAGCATGGTGTATATATGGTTGTGTTTTTGGGTAGAGCCAGGATAGAGCTTAGACATAAAGTAGTGCTCGCTCAAGAATAAGTCACTATGAGTATTAGTATCAGGACTGTCTGTGAAAGGTACAATAAATAAATGTGTCCTTTTCATGTTTAGTTGCTCCTGTCGCAGCCGAGAGTCTGGATTGTGCAGTCTATTGCCCTGTTCCTACGTAGTAAATATGAGAAGAAATCATCTCGCAAGAAAGAACGAAGTATGATGCAACTACAGGTACTGTAGCGTCTCATCGGTTATACTTGGAAGCTGAACACACTGTATTCGCCACTCTATTGGGAGAGAGAACTATGTTCATCATTTCTTCATATATCCTGTTTCAGCAACTAGTTGACCAATATAGCGATTCAAAGGCCAAGGTTCGTGAGAGATTTCCGTCTTGTTTTTGAGAGCAACTAAATCATTTTAATAAACCATTGCATTGCTTTTTAATAAACCATTTTTATGTCCATAGTTATCACAAAGAATGGAGTTGTTTTACAGCGCCCCACTTCCTCCAAGGTGGAAACTGCAGGTGATCAAAGATTAAACTATATTTGCTTACAGTAGGACCCATGGTCGGATGACCAGAATGCAAACAGAATGTAGCTATTTTGGGTTTGTGACAGTTTTTTATTCACTTTTTTATATAGCGAGAACTGGCAAATCTTTATCTTGAAATCGGAGTCACAAAAAGTGCTCTGGACGTTTTCGAAAGGTTACAACTCTGGGGAGATGTCATTAATTGCTACATATCTTTAGGGAGATTTGAGAAGGTAATCCTACCCCACTTGCCAAACCTGGATCGTACGAAATCCCTGCTTCTTTATTAATATACATACAATGCTGTGTCATGACTTTAGGCGGAATCTGTTGTCAGAACTCAGCTCAACATCAAAGAAACTCCAATACTTTGGTGTCTTCTTGGTGATGTGACTAAAGTAAGTTATTTACGATGGTATGCTTTCATATATGATATGTATTGTTTCAGAAACAGTAAATTTTGACTATGATTTTAGAATGATGAATACTACAGGAAAGCATGGGATATATCGGGACATCGTAGTGCGAGAGCGCAAAGATCATTGGGATACTTGAACTTACGCAATAAAAAGGTGCCTTTGCAAAATTAGGTGCACAATACACAGATAGGTGTTGAATAAAAGTTTGTCAACATTTTCCGCTCATTCTTCTTTTAGTTTGAAGAAAGTATTCCTTGTTTCCAAAAATCCCTGGAGATAAACTCGCTTCAGGTGAGCAAAACCGTCAGCTTTGTGTTTGGATGACTTGTATCTATGGCTGCATCTTCCAAATTCGTTACAGCAAATGAAAAGAAAAATTTTCAAAACTTTTTCAGGAGAATGTTTGGTTTTCGCTTGGCTGTTCTGCTATGCTAACAGGGAAATTGGAAATTGCTGCAAAAGCTTTTCATTGGTGTGTTTCTCTGAACCCAGATGTATGTAATCTTACATAAGATAGCCTGTTGAAGATAACCGTCTTTATAATAAGTCGATGAGTAAGATAGCGTTATGATAGTTGTTGTATTTGTCTCATAGAACTCAGAAGCGTGGAATAACTTATCATCAGTGTATATTAAAATGAAACAAAAGTGAGCGATGTTTATGTTTAAATGGTAAAATATGAAACAATTGTCAACGCCTTGAATTCGCATTTCCAGGGATCGAGCATTTCGGACACTTCAAGAAGCATTGAGAGCCAATTATGACAATTGGCAAATGTGGGAAAACTTTTTAGTGGTGAGAAAGGTCACATTTGAAATAAATAATTTAACACTGTTTAATTATTTGTAACATTCACAATCTCTAATTGTTTAATCTCTAATTGAATTAATTTTTATATCAAGATAGGTACAGACGTGGGGGCTTTTGAACAAGTTATCCAAGCCTTCCACCGGCTAATGGACCTTAAAGAAAAATACTTTGACATTGAAGTTTGTATTTTACTGTCTTTTATATTTTCAGTATACTGTAACATTCAACTAACGTTATGTATATTTCTTTACAGGTTCTTGGAATACTTGTACAATCTGTCATTAATGGCATAGAGGACAACAAAAGTTTGTCTGGTAGGGGAAACTTAAAACTTTCCAAATTATTTTTTTGCAGTATATACCATATATGCTACACTCATTCTGTTTCCCTTAGTACGGGTAAAATTTCCATATTATTTCCAACTAGCATCCATTCTATATCCATAATATGAATTTTGAAAGAAATTTCCAGTGATTATGACGAGATTTTATATAATTTTTGCTCATTAAAAAATACGGCACTCATTTTCAAGCATCAAGGTTAAAACCAAAAGTGAAGGAACTATTGGGAAGAATAACATCACAGGTACAGTATTGTAACTGTTGTTGAGAGCATAGTAGTTTTTATTACCCCTGCGTGAGTGGAATGTCTTAAAAGTCATTTCTGTATTATTCAAGGTTACTGGAAATGGTGATGTTTGGAAACTTTATTCTGACCTTTACAAAGATGGTGAATCTGAAGAAGAGAAAGATAAGGTATCCTCGCCGACAGGCAATGCATGGGATGATATAGAAAGTTTAGTATCACATATTAATATCAAGTACAGTATTTCACGAAATTATGTTTTGAACAGTTCTTGCAGTTCTTAGTGAAAGCTAATGGAGTAAATATACAAAATCCTGGTTGGGAGAAAAGTGAGGAAAAGATTGAAAAAGTTGTTCAAATCACCCTTGAACTATCAAAAGGTTTGAAAAAGCTAATCGAGCGTATAATTAGTCCTACATAATTGAAGACGATCTTTAAAAGTATTTTGTTGTGTGGTTATTGCATTTCCAGCATATCACGATATTGCCCAACATCAAGAGCAGACGACACGAGCTATTCAACTTTTATCTTCATCAAAGTTAAACTTAAGAGGGGTAATATCAAGGCTAAAGGTAAGTGTAAATAAAGTGCTTTAATGTACAATTGGCTAAGTACTTACCGTCTCTAATGGGACTTCGAATACCAGCCTAAACAACATCCTGCACTTTATGTACCTCTTATAGAAAAACGAAAGTTTCGAAATATCAGAAGGAAGAGAGAAGGTTTTAAGTACAGCATTGTCAAAACTGGAAGAAGAGTTGGAGAAAACTATGAATGCGATTGATGATTTAAAATCTGCATCAAATCGGTAATATGAGGAGAAAGTTACTCGATCCTTAGATTACATAAAGTTCGGATTGGGTTCACTCCTCTGACAAGAAGGAAAACAAGAAAATCACAAGTCACAAGAGACTTCACAAGAAGGCTGACCCAAATCGATGAAAGAACAAAGCCTTATCTACTCTTACAGCCTATGTGTTATGTCCTATAATAACGGGAGAGATGTAAGAAGAAAATGCCGACGCTTTCCAAGAGTACAGGAAGTTCCAAAGATGGGGCCGATTTCTTTGAATTTACTGATGTGATTATGGATAATTCAGCTTGATGGCGTAGTTGGATTATCTTGTTTCTAGTAATTTAATACCGATTACATACTGCCGATTCAAATTTCCTAGTATATTATATATTCCAATATATATAATTCTTTGCAATCTGACAGTTATTTTAAAGTCTAAATTAATCTGTGAGTCCCCACCTCAAATTTATAGTTTAGGATGTCTGTGCTATTGTTACTTTTTATTCTTTGTCAGAAAACGGTCCATAGGATTCTTTTTAACCATTTTATTAGGGTTAGAACTAGATTCCCTTTTTCTTTTCTTGGATGTTTGTTTGCCTTTGTTTGTTTGTAAATCATATTTAACGAGACCTGACGACGTTCGCTTGCTAAGACACATCTCAACATGCTGGTTCATTTGCAGAAGTGGATTGCTAGATTTGAATGTCAAGTCTATTCCACAAACTGGACAGTTAAAGGTAGTCTGTTTCACCGCCGGTTTCACGAAACTTGATCGTTTCATTGTGACATTCTCGTCTGCACTAGTCTCTGGCTGACCACACGGTTCATCAGGCCTTTGTATATGCTCATCCAGGATCATCTCATTTGGTTCAGAGTTCAGGTTTGATGAGTTACAAGACGCACCACGCTTCTTCATTAAACTTAAAATGGTTGGTTGTTTACTTTCATTGGCTAATTGGCTCTTTTCACAAAAATCCGCAACTCGAACCCCCATCAATCTCAACCGTAAGGGTTCTGGACTACATGCTCTGATCTCGTTAGCAAGTAATTTTCTCGCGTGTGGAAAAATGTCGTCGGCTTCTTGAACCGGAAACGATGCTGTACACACTCTTGTTTTCACTTCAAAATGAACCGTTTTCAATTTAATACCGATTTTTCGCCCTGTCAATCCTTTCGCCTTCAAACTTTCAGACAACTCTTGGCAAAGTTCCCGGCATTTTGAAAAATGTTCCTCGGGCTCGCTTATTTCTCGGAAAGTTGTCTCAGTGCTCATACTCTTTCGTTCACGATCAACATTGACTACAGTTGACCCAAGACCTAGCGAAATCTCCAAGTAGTTCCTACAAGCGGTCGGGCTGAACAGCAGCTGCATCAAGTCTCGACGCTTGTGTAAGTCGAAACACGTGTTGACCTTCAGTATGGAGGTCAAAATTTGTTCGCTAACACGGCCGATGCCGAACGCCTTTCGCAGCGGTAATTCTCGAACAAAAGCCATTATTTTGTCCTTTTTAGGTTTAAGGTAAAATTGACCATTAGGCTTGTTCTTATCAGAACATACTTTAGCTAGGAACATGTTTGGAGCAATCCCGGCACTAGCAGTAAGCTGGGTCTTTTCCTCAATTTTTCTTCGCATTTCGTTCACAACCTCTTCGACTTTGGTGTAAAACTCCTCTTCATTGATGGAACTCTCTTGTTTTTCCTCACTTGGCTCTCTTTTATATCCTATCTCGTTGGTCATAGATTCATGTAGTTCTTTGAAATCTTTATCAGACATGCTCTTTTCTTTAACTACATTTGGTGTAACTAACACCAGCTCCTCGTCTTTTTTATTTTCCTCCTCTTTCACTTCATATTGATTTGCCGAAATTCTGGCTAAATCGGTATCCCACTTCGCTGTCATTTTGCTAAAATCTTCTTGTTTGATGCTTATCGAGCCTGCATCCTTTGCAGTGTCGATAAATCCCCTGGTGTTTCTGTCTACATCCATATTATCTTCTGGTGCAAGCATCCCAAATTTCGTCAGTTCTTGTTTCCGAATCGTCGAACTCTCTCCGCTGTTGTCACTCTCGACTTTCACAATTCCTTTTTCATCCTCACTCCTGTTCAAAGTATTCAAATACTCCGTTATATCCATATATGCTTCATCCAGACTCATAGGCAAAAAATTCCTATCGTACTCTGCCAGCACTTCTCTGATCTCATGACTGATCTTTGTATATTTATCAAAATTTGCGCGCACGATGATTAAATTCGGGCATAGTTTCTTAGCAATAAATCCTGGCATGCCCGCGCGGACGCCATAACGCCTTGCTAGATAATTGGATGTACACAACATGTCATTTCCACCAACTGCCATGGGTTTAGACTTCAAACTTGGATCGTCCCGCATTTCAACAGCAGCATAAAACGCGTCCATATCAACGTGGACAATAGTACGGGTCAAATCGCGACATTGCTCTAATTCTCGGACAATTTTATTCGCGTCTTGTTTTGCTTTGAGTTTTTGTTCATCGTTATACGAGGCTAACTTTCTTTGCAATTCTTCAATACGTTTTTGTACTTGTTTTTCTTTTTTCTTCTCGTTTTCATAAAACTTAGACCCTTTGCTAGCGTCGTGGATAATTTGATTGATCTTCTCCTTGTCTAAGCCCTCCATTCCGGCCTTTGTTGTGTTCAAATCCATACGCGAAACTTTTTGTTTGTTAGAATCGAATTCCCCAACATTCATTACATCGATTGTTGCATTATTTTTCGCATTCAATGTACCCCCATCGGTGTCAGCATCTAGAGGAGTCGCGCTAGCATTTGTATTTTCAAAATTATCATAATTTTCATCGAATTTCCAATCATTTTCAAAGTTTTCATCGTCTGAAGAGAAATCAAACTCCTCTTCATCCGCCGCCATTTTGACTTCTTTCCCGCTGTTTTTAAAGGGCGCGAAAATCGACGGCTGATTCCGATCTCGTCCCGAGTGCATTGTGTCCTAAAAGCATGCTTTTGGATTTGCTCGAAATTTGGATTTTGGAGCTATTTTTTTGGGCATATTTCTATTAATTTCTGAAATTGATCGTTGTAGTATGAAATGTGATTGTTCGTAGCTATCAGTAAGGTAAGAACAGCACGGATTGGTTAAAATGAGAGTCTAAAAACCTTTGATGTTGATGCATTCATTGATCATTTGATCGCATGCTACTTAAAATGGATTTTGTGAAGCCAAATTCAGATTAAACTCTAAATTGACGATACCAGTTGTTTGTGGTGATTTTGTGTGAAAAATAGTTTGTATGTCGTGGAGGTGGAGACACGATTCGTCAGTTAATTCTTGAAGCTAGTGTAAACTGCGTTTAACACAGTCGCCGGGTCAAAGGGTGACTGCTGTTTGTGTTGCAGACATTGTATAACGTTGTCTTTGTTATCCATAGTTAATTAGTTTACCAATTTGCTAATTAAGTTGGTCTGTGAAGGGGAAAATTAATGTTCTGTGTTATCTTGGTAAAAATAATTTATGAAACATAAAAGTTGTATAACATAATGCAAATATATTTAGTTATATTACTTTAAGTGTCCTAAGAGTGAGTTGTTTACAATTTGATCTTTCCATTTAAAAAGGTGTCAGGATGACTGGCATTCAAGAACCTTGGAGAAAGTCAAGGTATTAAAAGTTAAAATTATATTCAAGTTAAGGTGGATTTAAAACCTACTCCAATAAAACTGCCTTCCTATTCTGTAAACTAAAAGTGTGCCTATTACTATAATTAACATGTGCCTATTACTATAATTAGCAAAGCAATTTCTGTTGTAAACACAGGTGCACTTTTATTGCACTTTGATGTTAAATAAAGATTCAAATTCCTCCCATTGGCATTGAAAACTAATTTTCCTGCCCTATAAAGATTAATTCCTAAGATGGTTCCTTGGTCCCATAACTCATTATTACCTATGTTATTCCCTACAATTCCCTACAGGGCTTGGAATCTTAAGTTTTGTGTTTTCTTTAGGTGGTCCACTATTGTTGTGTGTAATAAATACTGTCCTGGAAGGAAGAGGGCTCGTCCATCCTTGCAATGCATTGAATGCAAGTCATTTTTTCATCCTGAATGCATCTTCTTCAATGCGAGAGATGCCAAGAAGATCAAAAATACATTTGCCTGCACTGTATGTGGTCAAAATAACCTCTGACTAGTTGTTCATTAGACATCAGGGGCCAGTTGTTCGAAAGACGTTTAGCTTAAACAGTGGATAAGCCAAAGTTTAAAAATACTCTCATAGGTCTTGTGAATGACTGAACCTGCATCTTATGCATTTCATATGTACTTCCATTGACAATTAAACCTTTTACATCAAAATATTTTAGCTGCAGTTGTTCAATAAATAGATAAATTGGTTTTCTATTTTTAACTTATCCACCGTTTAAGCTAAACGCCTTTCGAACAACCGGCCCCAGATAGGAACATGCAGATAGGCAGTTGGGCAGACAGATGAACCGGGAAGCTAAACCACCCCCCATGTGTGGTGTGATATTAAAATTATCATCCTGATACAATTACATTGGGTGTTGCAGAGGCATAGCTAGGGTGACTTGGACCTTCTGGTAGAATTTTGGGGCCCTTCTGAAAGAATGAAATGAGTCATTGTTATGCTGTCAATAATGCAAGAAGTCTGTATGTAATATTTCACATTGAAATTGTCCATCAAAAATGCTACAAAATTCCGCACAGTATGTTTAGCACAAATCTTATTTCAAGTCACACTGACTGCCTTAGCACCCCACGTAGGTTTCGGCTGCCTCCTATGCATTACATGCATACAACATTCTACCTACATATGCCTCTGCAGTGGGGGGGGTAGATCTCCAGTATAATTGTGACACTCCCATGTTCTTTAGGGAGGTCACAACAATAAACACCTTACAAGGAATTTCTTTTTTTTTTGTAATTCCATGGATTTTCTAGATTTCTGAAAATAGGGTACTTCACTCTCTAATGCACAATCAAATTATCATATCTTGACAGAAATGTCATCTTGCAAGTGACCCAAACGCTCTGAAGATCAGGATCAAAACGGTTGATTTGTGTCCAATTTTAAAGCTCTCGTTTGATTGTCTTTTGGGAATATTCTCTTTCTTATCATTAACAGATCTACTAAGGTAAATCAAAGGGAAATCTCTTGTTGTGAAGTGCTCCTAAGATCCTGAGTTATCAGAGTTAACCCTGGTTATAATAATACATCCCTCTTTATCAACTAGTGTTGCCTGTGTGTGTTCCACATGGAAATATGTCGCCGCTCAACCTGTGCTGGTAAGATTTAGATTCGATATTCTCGATATAGATTATTCTACCCGATGAAGGCTTTCAAACATTGGATTATTGTAAAATGTCAGAATCTTTGGAAGTAAAAACGTATTCGTGCATGATTCTACAGGAAAAGTTTTTTTTTCATAGTGGAAGCGAGTATCGTTTAACGGTATTTTTGTCAAAAACTGGACATTGGCCGAAAAATATTTGTTGATGTTTTCCATTCAAAGACTGGTACGTAATAAGATCTTTATAAACTTTTCTTGAAATATCTTTAATTAAAAAGTATCCTAGCTTATATATACAATCACTGTTGTAACGAAATAAGTCATAAATATAGTAGATTCTATAATCTGTAGCATTGAAATACCGCCTGCTAAAATTTCCAGGATTTTCGGGGTATTTTTATCGGAAAGAAAAAATGCGAAACGTGGCATAAAATAACGGATCTGATTCATAACACGGAACACTTGAAGTATTTGGATTTTGGTCGCGTGCCCGCTGGCGTACTTCACGATGTCGTGGGCTCACTTTCGAGGTAATAGACCTCCCCCCCCGGAGGCCTAACCATGTTCCTTATTCTTATGCTGTTTCTCTGTATTGCTGTATAGTTAATATGCTTTTGTGATATACAAATCGTTCTAATATTGCATTCTTTAGTCTTGAGGTGCTTACTGCAGAGTGGATCATTGATGTTGTCAGAGATAGTGACGAGAGTGATCGGTAGGTCACCAAGTGGTTAATATTTATTTCTTGGCTATAGTATGGTCTTGAGTGACTAGGGATCTGTTTTGTGTAGGGAAAAGACGGCCAAGATAGATATTGGCAAATTTTCTCATTTGAAAAACTTGAAAGAGCTTCGTCTCCGAGCGGCCTGTGGCTGTGCTGGTCTTCAGCTGCCGATGTTTGCCTTCAGTCTTGGAATGTCAAATTTGAGTGATTTGACAAAACTTCGAAAACTAGTAAGTTCTTCCAGTACCAATTTCGTTCCCCCCTCCGCATTTTTAATAAAGGCCCTGGGAACGAGGTTGATCCAGTACTTGAAACTTGAATGAGTATCAAGTACCATCTATTCAATTATATCTTGTTTATTTCTTCCAAGTACAAAATGAAAGCGTGAATGCTTACGACACTTTGAAGTTCGTAAACGTTTACGTGTATCTATATACCAGCGCAGATTATGGATTAATGGATATATTGTAGGCTGTCATTTTTGAAACAAAACATTTGAAACAAAAAAAATGGTGCAAACATGCAGTATATGGTACAAACATGCAGTATATGCATGGTACAAACATGCAGTATATGCATGGTACAAACATACAGTATATGCATGGTACAAACATGCATTATATGGTGCAAACATGCAGTATATGCATGGTACAAACATGCATTATATGGTACAAACATGCAGTATATGGTACAAACATGCAGTATATGCATGGTACAAACGTGCAGTATATGGTACAAACATGCAGTGTATGCATGTTAGAAACATGCAGTATATGGTACAAACATGCAGTACATGCATGGTAGAAACATGCAGTATATGCATGGTAGAAACATGCAGTATATGCATGGTAGAAACATGCAGTATATGCATGGTAGAAACATGCAGTATATGCATGGTACAAACCATTGTGATAGAAAAACGCGCGATTTCTTTACCCGCTATATACGGCAAAAAATTAATCGAGCCACAAATATTATACGCACGATTATCTATATATAATCTGATCTATAATTATATAATCGCAATTCAAACTGAACTGCATTAACATGAACACTGAAAGTTTGATTTACGTATTGGCTACATTAAGACGTACTTATCATTTCTCTGCAAGTCTAAGCCAGATACTGGTTAAAGGTTTTGTAAAGTTGTTAACAATGACAGCTCATGTGATATTACTTTAACAAAAGGCTATGGATGTTTTTACACCTATAATAACGATTCATACTTCGCGCCTGAGTGCCATACTTTGCCACTTATTAAATCACTTCAGCTAAATGGCTGATATGGACAGCTACGTACATTGGAAATGCTAAAGACTTCATTTAAATATCGCTAAAAGAACAAGGTAAATAAAGATCACTCGTTAATCGCTCGTTTATGAATTTGAAAATGTTTTCATAAATATTTTCTGGATTTATAGAAGTCCTTTTTTGCAAAGACTTGAAACAGCGGTGCGTAAGTATATAAACCAAAACGGAGTAAAATCTAACCCAAAGTTAGCGCTCACCTAGCTTTGAGCAACCGGCCCCAGATGACAGATTAATTCGAAATGGCTTGATACGACAAACAAACAGTAATCCTCCTGAATTTAACCTTAATCCTATACCTATTCTCAAGGTATGAAGTGGAGTATTTAGCTTTCTCTGAACGTGGAATCATTGCCCGATATAGCAATAAGTAAAAAAGTGCGAACAAATTTCGGCTCAAAAAAGCCGAAAAACCAGTCATTCTTAAATTTTACGCCAGGGTTTGGTTTCTGGCGTCAATTCACCCCAAGGGAGTGTCACCACTCGATCGTATTACCAGCAGGCGCAAAGCACACATTTCGCAACGCTTTCGTCTCAGAACAAGAGGTATTTCTCGGATTCTTTTGACATTTTCTCAGTTTGTTCTGACATCCTGCCTGTGAAGAAAATCAGGGTACAAAAAGGGCGAAAAAACGAAGAATTTCTAAAAGGATTCAGCTGCTAAAGGTGAGTAGACAGAGTAGTTTGAGATAACAATACTGTCAATACATCTATAGCACTTTAACCTGTACTACAAGTGCTGTTTATAGCTGGCTGTAAAATTAAATATACTACTTTTATAACATTTTCAAGCGTTATATCAATTGGTGCACGGATTGGTGGTACTTTGGTGTCTCTAGCGCAAATACTCACAGACTTTAATCTTATTTCATACTCAAAATGGCGCGTAAATATATAAATATACGTTGGATAATATTGTTAGAAATGCGAATGGGCGTAGGTAAGAAATCGACTTGATTATTTACCTTGACAATAAAAGGGTGATTGTGTTGCCTAAACGGTACTCTTGGAGTACGAGAGCGAGTCGCTGTAATATCTATCGTTTCTTAATATTTAAGGCGCTTAGCAACGCTTGCATCTGAGAATAAGAAATGCTGTTTATCCGATTCTTTTGTACATCCTGCCTGAAAAATTACTCAAAATCAGGGCAGAAGAATAAAACGTAATGAATAGTATCATTATGAATTGTAACAGGGTACAAAAACCCCGCAGAATTTTCAAAAGTGTGTACCCTCGCTACGGCTGAGTAATTTATAAGGATAACATCGAGTCTAGGTAATTGTCGAGAGTCGAGAGTAAAATGTCGAGAGTCGAGAGTAAAATATCGAGAGTCGAGAGTAAAAGGTAGAGAGTCGATTTTAAATATAATTTTAAGCAACATGACTTAGGCTCAGATAAAGTATGGCATATTTTGTCGCTATACTCAGTGTTATATAAATGTTTTCCTAAGTAATAGTTATAGAAAACAGAATGGACGACCTGCGCTTTCGACTAATTTTTTACCTCAGCGAAAAAAAGGGCATTTTCTGAAAGAGCATACTAAAATAAGTAGAACTGCCAGGTTTGACTGCGAATTGTTGTAAAATACGGAAAATATAGCCATGCGAAGTTGTCGATTTTTGTATACTTTTGTATTACGACCGGAAGTTTGTAACTAAACTAGTTACACATTTCCGCACTTAATACAAAAATATACAAATTTTGCCAACCTCGCATGGCTATATTTTCCGTATTTTACAAAATTTCGCAGCCAAACTTGGCAGTTTTACTAGCTGGGGTGATTTATTTTCCTCTAGTTACTTCGATCAAAAGTTAGTCTAAAGCGCAAGTCGTCCATTCATTGAAGCAGAAACCATTGAATAAAATCAGTTGTTTATCATATCAGATTTTTTTGAATATGAATTAAATGGATCATCATCATAATATCCTATGATTTTTTAAAAGATCTATACAACACTTACAAGCATCGCTGTTTGTGGCGTATTCAAGCACTCAGTTGCGAGCATATTTTTCAAAGCATGCAGGCATTTTATTTCGTGGAGGTCTACATGCGTGTGTGTCAGAAATGCTAAAACGCTCAGAAAATATGAGTATAATATAATCTTATAACAGAATCGATCGTTTGATAAACGAGACAAAAGACGCAAGGTTGCGTCGAGTTCTGTCACTTGATGCATCAATGTCGGAAGTTGAAACATAAAACGTCAAATGATAAAAATAACAGAATTACCGTAGTCTCTTAGCATAGGTAACGTGCAGTGAAATATGAGTAAAAGTAAACTTAAACTTAATACATAAATGAAAACATCTTTTTGTGCGCGAAATCGACTCTCGACATTTTACTCTCGACAATTACCTAGACTCGATAACATCTTAGCATTTTGACACATAATACAAGTAATGTTTATAATTGTCTGTTGACATAAATATACCATTCGTAAATTATAAGCGGAATCATTTAACTGTGCTTCGGTGTCTCTAGCGGAAATACTCAGAGTTATATAAATGTGGGATACTGTCCAATGTAAACAAACGCCTTGCTTACATTTTGAATCACTATATTTCCAAAAATATCGACAATTGTCAGATCATTGCAAAGTCAATATGGCTGATGAGTGTGGTATATCGTGCTCTGCTTGTAATCTTTTTGTGGCTCGATTGTTCAGATTACTTTGCACGTTGATTATTTCGAATATAAGCTATTTTAATTAAGTAATTCAAACTGACCAATTGCAATGCAAGAAATGAACTGATTTTACTCCCTTAAGGTGCAAACATCAGTCCGGCCACCCCACAAATCAGTCGAGATAAGTCCAAATGGTTTATCGACCAATCAAATGAGCCGGCTGACCTACCCGATTCTGCGAGTTTTTTGCGTTTTACCGCTGCTTTGGATAAAAGAATATTGTTTTTCTGAAACTGAACCCTTTAAACTGGACTAATTGTAATTCGTATTATAAATTTTTACTGCCAAAAATACGTAAGTCGCGCGACTGACTGGACCTTCCCTAGATCCGCCCCTGCGGCCTTGCCTTGCTATGCATGAGCAGAAACGATGTGCAAAACCATCGTAATGCCTCTTTCATCTTGTTTTCTCCCGACAATATTGTCGGGGTTTGTTTTATGAGCCGGGAGGGGTTGCTGTTTAACCGACATTACAATGTGTTATTTCTGTCCACACAACAGGTTTTTTACCCAACAAAGGTTTACGATTGGTAATTTCGCGATACACATTGTACAGTTCTGTTACCAGTTTTTATGCAGTGCTGTATATCACTGAAATGGAACGAATAAACGATGACGATGTGCAAAGAGAACAGGCAGAATCCGGAGGAAGCGAAGATTCGAGAATAGAGGAAGAAAATTTGTTAAATGTGGATCCTGAAGAACATTTGAAAGAGGATTGGGAAAGTGGCCGTTCGCCTGTGGGTTCGAAAAGCGAAGAGACCCCATCCGAAAGAGCTGAAAAAATTGAAGATGTGGAAAGAAAATTCACTCAATCTAAGGAAGCTTATTCAAACATGTGTCGAATGTGGAAACGCGGACGTCGAAATGCTGTTACGTTACTGAGGAAATTTGCTGATGCAATACAAAAGGATGAAGAAAATAGCCGAATTGCAAAGTTAGCGGGCGCATCATCTTCGATTGTTGGCGGTATTTTAGCTATTGGAGGGGCTGTCGCTGCATTCTTCACATATGGCACCTCTCTGGCCGTAACTTCATTCGGAACTGGTTTGGCTGCTGCGGGCAGTACAACATTGGCCGGGGCAGAAATCGTGAATCATGTGCTACGTTCTCGTAATCTGGGAAACGTTAATGAAGCGTTAAAAAGGGACGGCGAATTGACTGAAAATCTGCGGAAGCAGGCAAATGAGGTTAGACAAATCGAGGACGAATTGGAGAAGTTAAGGAAAAAGAGTCTCACCAAACCATGCATAAGTATAGCAACCACAGTTTGCAGCACGGTTTCTACAGCTTATCAAGTGGGAAAAACAGTTGGCGGCAAGTTGGCGGAGCCAGTTTTGTTTAAGACCTTCAGCAAAATGTCTAAAAGATTACATGTTTTTGGAATTGTCTTCAACCTTGTAACGATACCACTTGATGTTCATACATTGATTAAAACATCTGTCGATGTTCGCAACACCTCAATTGTTGAGATTGTTAAAGTCATCCGAGAAAAGGCACAAGAATTAGAAGACGAAATTTGGCAGTTCCCAGACGATCTCGAATAAGGAAAGCACGCAGCTACATACGCCTATGATATATTAAAATATGACGTTCTACAAAAAAAACAATTAGTCAGGTATATGCATGTAAACAAATAGCCAAACATAGTATTCGTAAAGTGAAGAAAATGGTGTTATAATGATAGAAATGACTTAAGTTTGTTATTGTTACTGTTTTGAAATTAAGGTTTAAATACCATTAAACGTTTGCCAAATGTATACAGTATAAAAAGTAATTGGCATTAACATGTGACGTACGTTTAGTTAGGTCTCAAGTTTCAACATATAACTATAGCTATTAAAAATATATTTGTTTGTAAAAGGACTGTGTGTTTTGGAAACAATACTAGAGTACGAGACAACCTCGTACCAGGGTCTCCCTTAAAAGTCATGTGAGAATTTGCGTACTTTAAAAACACGATGGTTTATTTTGAAGATTTTCCAAATTTTATCTGAATTATATCGTGGCAAAATGCATATAAATGCAGTTAATTTTTCATACCAATGTTTTTTTATTTGATGCACCCTGTAAAGCTTCGTTGCATGCCGTTCTTGTTTGTCTAATTTATCCATGCGACCCCGATTTGCTTTAGCTAAGTGGTTTTGGGATACAGCTAGGTCTCGCGAAATTTCTTAGAAATCTGCATTGAACGTCCTCAACATTCAACAAACAGTATTAGACAGTGTCATTGCAGAGAAACATCTATATGCAAAACGACTTTCTGACCAAATTGAATATTTTTTAATGGAATGGGCTCTTTCATTATATCCTGACCGATCCTCGTTTTCTAGGCTTTGACAACGTTCAGGGACCTCGCAGCGCAAGATTTTGATTTTTTAACCTCGTTGCCACAGCTCGAGGATCTTGAGCTGGGAGATTGCTCAGAATGGGAAGTTGAGGTGATTACATCTAAAGTTTAACCCCAGGGTGAACAAATCTCAACAGCACAAATCGATATTAAAATAGTATGAAGAAAATAGAATCTGTTTCAAAGTAACGCACATGATCCTACCTAGCTGAACAAGGAGGAATTTAATTTTAAACTAGTCGCCATATTTGTTTACATTTTTCAGGTAAAACCAATCAGAATGCCTAAGTTTGTAATACTTCATGTAAAATGGTATATATTGTACTTTTTATCAAAATTTATGCATTCTGATTTATGCAATCTAGCCGAGATTCAAAAATGTCAGATGCATGACTTTGAGGTATTGAAAAATTTTTAAAAATAACATGATCCTGGCCACGGTGTCCAGGTGTCGCAATTTTTGCAACCAGATTCGGTCGGATGTAAATTAATAGACGCCCCACCTGATTTTGATAATTACTAAATTCATATCAGGAGGGTGCAACCTAACTATACTTCAGGAGCTTGGTTAGAAAGTTTAATATAATATGGCCACACTGATTCTGTGTTGACTGATTGACGTGTTTGTATTGCTGGGGTTTTTTCAGTCATACGAGAGTTTGGGTAAACTTGCGAAGTTACAACATTTGAGGCTTGAACGCGCTGGATCGATCTCAAGTGAAGGTTTAATATGGGCATTGTCCTCACTAAAAAAGTAAGTCTTTTAACAAGGAATTCCCTATCATATCATAGAAAAGTGTCTATGACCTGGTGGTTTAAACTGTTTATATGCCATCTTTTGTGTACTTTAGTCTCGTCCATTTGGAATTGATCATGTGCGAAGTTCCCGAGGCATTTTCTGGAGCCTTGATTGAAATGCCCAAGTTGAGAACTCTTTCTGTTTGGCCGGATACCTTTAGTGAACACGTATGAGATTTTCAACTTTTTTGATGTGTGTTAGCCATTAGACTATAAACTATTGTTTTTCCGAAAGTAGGAACACTCGAATAAGTGTTTGATTTTCAGTGTCTTACCTTAAATCTTTCCATTGATTAAGAATAAACTTTCTCATTAATCAGTAATAACAAAATTTCAATGTCACACTCATACAGGTGATAGTGTCTCAGCAAAGAGTTATCAGTAAGTAGTTTAGTTATCAGTAGGTAGTATTTAATATTTAGGTTATTCAGTAGTCAACAAAACACCAGCAAACAACCAGTAACACTTAATAGTCTCTCAGCTCCCTGGGACGTGTTTTTGAGATAAAAAGAACAGAATAATTTCTCTTTCTTTAGGCATGCCAAGTGAATACAAACTATCTCTCTTCCATCGCTACATTGGGCCTGAAACACCTTCAATTATTAGATTGGGGCGTTTTAACTACGGAATATCATCATACGAAAGATATCGTCAAATATTATCCTTCCTATTGCAAAGCACAGGAAAAAGATAACAGGCCAATTATTGAATTTACAAAATCACTCAAAGAATCGCTATTTGACAGCATACCAGACCTACAGTTTGTCCAGAATGGTCAAACTGGAAATGTAACAATGTCCGCTGTGCAGTTAAAAAGAATTTTGATAAAAAATTTGCCGTCCACTTACGTGAGAGTTTTACCCATTCCCATAAACATGATGGATCGATTATATTTTGTTATTTGAAATCATTTCGGAAAATTTCTTTCTATACTTAGGAGATGTATTTCCTGGGATGAAATAAATTATTTTTTATATTCTAAATAGTTATATAATGGCAAAATCAATATGTCCTCTATCTCTGAATACACGAGATTTGTTTCTCGCCTTTTTAACGTTTTCATCTTTTCATGGTTCATGCGGTCATACAAATGAGAATTTTACATTAAAAGTGACTCAAACTCCTGTCGTAAAGTGTGCATGCGTTGCGTACTTATAGTGCGACTAAATTGGCTTTGAATGCTGGCGGCGTTCTACATAAAGACGCGATAATCTGTGATTTGCAGCGTAGAAAAAGCGAGAGCACCTTCTGAAACTCCCATGCACATAGGAATTTATATGTCGTCTTTACGTCGTAGATCCTCGTAGATCTTGAAGAATATCTTCAAGAGCTTCGTAAAGAGCACAAACGTGCCCTACTTTAATCGAACTTGTGGGTTCGGGTAACAGGTCTACCGGAAAAAGACCTGGTAACATCTTTGAACATTTCTCAGCGAGATCTTCTAAGGTCATTTCGTCCCCGAAATCCTTTAATTTGCATTCGAGAAGATACATCACTACCTCGATTTGCTGAAGAAGATCTTGGACTCTCTTCATCCCTTGTTCTTTCATGGCATTTAATCTTTCACGCACATCATCGGGAAGTTCATCGCTCTGCGTCACTCGTTTTCGAATCTTTGTCAGCAAATGACCGCAAGTGTAGAACAATTCTTTTGCGAAAATGAACTCGTTTAATGTTCCAGTCAAGTAACACTCTCCAAACGCAATTTTAGTTGCGAGCTCTATCTCTATTCTCTCAAAGTCGTAGGTGATTTCTTGGCCTCTTCCATACTCGGGATTGTTTTGTGCGAATCTGAACACGTCATCAGACCATTGGAAACTGATTATTTCCTTCTCTTTAACATTTTGAATTGTAACGCACGCGACGCCACTGCAATTGCGCTTTTCCAGTGCATGTAGAGCTGGATGGCGATAGGAAGAAATAGAAAGTATGAAATCTAAAATAGAATTTTGATAAGAGACAAGTATTTCGATAGCCGTTCTAAGATAAACACCACAGTCACTTTCCATTAAACAGTACGCTAAGCAATCCATCTTCTGTATATGGGGCATTTTTTCTTGAGTTTTATCTGCAAGTTTTTGATCAACCAGACGACACATTTTATTCCATGCTTCCTTGAAGCTATTGAACAGCTGGTTCAACAGCTGGTTTTATAGCGATATCTTTCTTGCAACTAAGAATTTTCATTAAATCAGATAAGTCAGTTCTGATAGTTTTAAAGCAAGATGCAGCTTGGTTTTTAGAATCGATTTCGGGATCTAAATCCAATTTGATGTAATGGGCATGTAACCCTTTTTTTGCGTTTTACCCTTTTTTCCGCGTTTTACCCTTTTTTCCGCTTCCACGTTTTACCCCTTTTTCCGCTTCCGTCATTCCGCTATTCCGCTTCTGCGTTTTACGCTTACCCTCACTCCGAGACTATAAATAATAATTTTTTCATCGTATAGGCAAAGCTTGTATTTAAATCGCAATAAACCATTCGCATCATAGGCCTTACTTTTGATATAGGCAATAAGGTGCAAATAAAACACCGAAGCTGAAAAAAGCACGCACACAAATTAGCTACAGAATCACCAAAGCTAAAAAAAATTGCTAGGTTTGTTCAGCGGTAGGTTGTATAAAGCTCTTTAACTACATTTTGAATATTTAAATCCTACTGTAGTTAACTCAGAAATGCACGACTCTGATTGGATTCTCTCCTCAACTAGAGTTATAAGTTAATTATAACTGTCCCCAAGCTATGCAAAATTTTCAAAATTGATTTTGTATACTGACTTTGTATACTCTATACCGTCCGTATAATACAAAAACAAAGTTTGCAAACTTTAAGAAATAACATTCTCTGCATTTTGCAAACATTGCTCTATAATGTAAATCGGCTATTGTCAAATCAGTGGTATGTATAAAGAAAGTCAATTCACTTGAAAGTACCGAGTGTTAAATGAGCAGTTGCGTTTAGTCAATGAGCCAATAAGTGTGTTACACAGTGCAAAACAATACACCCTTGTATTGTTTTGGGCGTAAGAAAAAAAGGATTCCTAATAAATATGTTTTTCAATGAACGAGTCAAAACATTGTTATAAACAGGCAATGGCGACTATACAATTCAAGATTAAAAGTGCACAATTCTCTCTTTAACTAGTTAAAAGTTAATTATAGTTGTCGTGGATGGCGATGGCGGAGGTGTCATTGGTTGGAAGGTCCCATCATGACCTTGTAACCGAATCTATCCCTACCGGTCAGCCGTGAGTAATAATAGTATTACAGTATGATACAACGGCTAGTTATGATCACTGCCTAGTTATTATCTGCGTAGATTGTTAGGTCTGTTTCAGACGTGGAACTTTTCATTTGCCGAATCGAATGCTAAGGAACTTAAACAAAAACTTTAGTTCATTTGCATTAGGTTCGGCACATGAAAAGTTCGACGTCTGAAACAGGCCTTAGTTCATCATGATATTATTATTAGTAGGCATGGTAGTAATTTTTCGCATCTTTGGGACGGTTCAATAAAAATGTGATTCAAAGCATACCTCTTATTAATAGCTTCTTTTGTTTCAATAACCTCCTCCATGTTTTCAATCTTCACCTTCAGTCCTTCCACTTTAATTCCAACCAGCGAATTCTTCCTGCAAGCGTTCCTTCATCCTTCCTGATTCGTAATCCGCCAAGACTTCCAGAAATCTTTCGTCTGTGAGACAATGTAACTCAACATGCAAACTTCCTGGTCGAATCCCAGGGGGATCTTGATCACCGCGATCGCCTCCGAGAGCTTTTGTAACTGCAGCGTCGATTAATGGTCTCAATAACTTATAACCAGCATACAGAACGCCTAGTTTAGCGACTGTTTTGCACACTTCTTTTGCCACTTCTACATTGTCAGTGGTAATGGCGATCTCAAATCTCCTGCCGGTGAACGATGCACTTGCTCGCAGAGCATCCCCAGCTCCAGAAAACAAACTTGCCATTCAAGAATTATTTGTTTCGCACCGGCATGGAGCTAAAATAGAAAATATTATGTTTTTCTTGCGGTCCGAAATCATATTTTACGCTTTTCCGTAATCTGATTCGCTACGAGAGCGGTCTTGGTTCTGCTCATGACAATTCGCGACTCCATGATTTAAAAATTGCCTTAAAAATTCTCTTAAAAAATAATATTTTGCAGAAACCAGGAGGGAAGAGTTTGTTTGGGGCAAAGGACTGCGTTTATCTAGCGGTAATAACCAGGGGGGTAATGAAGATCCAGTCCGGAGCTGGTCTTGCAGACAAAGATGCATGTAGAGGCAGTAGAGCACACTACTGGTACTAGATTCAATCCGGCATTGGTTAACTCCAAAAATCTAATCACTCAAAATGTTGGCAGTAATGTACTGATTTTTTGTCTTTTTTCTGACAACCAGTCCCGATCACTAAGATCAACGATTTTTATTCGTTTAGTTTATGCATAGCAAATAACTGCTTTAACGACGTATTCTTGACGAGGGTGGTTTGGACAATATTTATGGAAAAAAGTAACAAAATCGCCGCATTGATGGCCGAGAAAATGCATTTCGTACCGATGCAAGGAATGGACATGTTTCTAACATAACACTCTCTTTTACAACGTTTCTTGTCCAAGGTCAGTGTATTTCCGCGTGATGTTTAGGCGAATTATTTTAGTTTTTTTCCATTTCGATGAGCTTTTTATCTCGTATTATTTTCAATGTTAATCATCAGTATTAATGATGATCGTTGTCTTATCAGTGATCTGATAAGACAACGTATAGCCTGGTCGAATTTTTGAACTCTGCATGTAGCTGGTAGTAATTTTTGCTTCTTGCTTCAGTAATTCTTGCTTCTAACTGGTTATATTGCACATACTTGCAAGTGCGTATTAAAATTAACCAAAGGGACAGATATTTTCAAATCGACATGGATCGGCAACTTTCGATTGATAATTTGTAATATTCGATATAGGTTAAATATACCCCATTGTTTCGGTTCTGTGTTAAGGCCATGTTACACGGTGCAATTTTTCTTGCAACTTGCAATGCAATTCCACTTTCAAGACATGTAAATTAGTGAAGAGTTCTCAAAATTTAAGTGTAAGTAACGCCATGGGGTGTAATAAAGTGGCCAAATTTACATCTGTTAAAAGTAGAATTGCATAAAGTATTTTTTTCTTGGCCGCTATTATTCTGGCCTTCGCGCTCTTTATTTTTTATGCTGTGTTGTTTGAGTCTAAGCTGGTATAACTGGTTGGAAGTTTGTTCAACATGAATGGCAGCTGCTAAAGACGAAACACAATAATTATCAATTATTGGACGAGGTCGAGTAAAATATCGTGATTTGTCGGTGGCAAGCAGAGCAATTATTTGCCGATGCCGAAGGCAGAGGCAAACAATTGATCTGCGAGCCACCGACAAATCACGATATTTTGCGAGAACCAAGTTCAATAATTGTTTTATCATTCACCACTCAATTTTCAATTCATTCACCACTCAATTTTCAATTTTGAGTTCGTTTTATCGGACAGTTCGGCAAAGCGAGTCGCCATTGTTTATAAAATTGACATTAATGCGCATGCTCAGAGTATTATTTGCAGCTGAGTATTATTTGCACGCAGTTAACTGCAGGTAAATTAACCAATCAAAATTGAGAATACTATAAAGTGAATGATAATATCGATTGCCTGTCGAAGAACCAAGCTAAAATAGTTAAACTTAAACGACCCATTACGATTGCCACTGCTTGAATTTAATATCTGTATAAATTCGACATTAAGAGACTTCCTCGTCCATGCAGGATTCCCGCATATAAGTTTAGACGCGGAAAAATTTGCCAGCCGGAAAGAAAAGTTCAGACGAGAAACCTGTACATGTCTGTGACCGGCACTTCAGACGAGTTTCTCGTCTAGACGAACTTCCCGTTTCTAATTATGAATTTGGTTTACCATCTGGGTTCTCCCTGTTAACCGATGCTATAGACTTCAGCAAAGCCGGTCGTGCTTACTAGAAGGTTTTTAATCTCAATTGTCAACACTAAGATTTTATTCTAAATCGTAGGGGATAGCATGCAAATATTCTAAAATA